CCACATCGGGCTCCCTGCTCATTGGGGAGACTGCTTCTCCCTCTCCCTCCCCTCCTCCCTCAGCTTGTGCTCTCTGTGAAATAAAATCTTAAAAAAAAAGAAGTGACATATCATCACTTCTGCCATATTCTATTGGTCACACAGACCGACCTTGATTCAGTGTGGCAGAGGACTTCACAAGGATATAAATACCAGGAGGGAGGAATCACTGGTGGCCATTTTAGAGACTGGCTACCTCAGAAGGGTTAGAGGAATTTAGAGAAGGAAAAGAAAGTTTTAGGACTTGGAGGGAGATGGAGGAGACATTAACTGAATGCCTATTATGGGCCAAGCCCCCACCCTTTTTTTTTTTTAAGATTTTATTTATTTATTTGACAGAGAGAGACACAGCGAGAGAGGGAACACAAGCAGGGGGCGTGGGAGAAGGAGAAGCAGGCTTCCTGCAGAGCAGGGAGCCTGATGCGGGGCTCGATCCCAGGACTCTGGGATCATGACCTGAGCCATAAGGCAGATGCTTAATGACTGAGCCACCCAGGTGCCCCATGGGCCAAGCCCTTTGTATCTGTATTAATCTCTTCCACAACATTAAGGAGTAGAGATTATTCCCATTTTTCATATAAAGGAATTGAAGCATGGAGAAAATAAGTGTCTAAAATCAAATCCAGTAAGTTGCCAGAGTGAGGACTTGTATGTTATGTATGCCACCAATGTTGATCTAGTACATTTAATATGTACCAAAGGGTGGGACATATGCTACTTGTGGTATGAGAAGCAACTTTAGGTAGTAGAAAGACATAGCATTAAATAACATTGAAAATATAAACATTATTTTTAATCCTCTGTATCAAGAGAAAGCTTCAGTTTCAAAGACTCATGCCTTATTACCTCTCTAAAACTTGTTAATTTATCTTTTTTAAGAAAGAAAGGGCAGGCCCCAGGCTCAGCATCTTTGACAATGATATTACTTTGGTAGAATTTGATAATATATTTCATTTTCATTGTATTGACTTTTAAAGTTACTTTGTTTGTAGTCAGGTGATACTGATTTTAAATTTACTAAAGGATTATATGAAGTTTGATTTGTAACTTTTATTTAAGTTTGGTACATTTTAAGTAATAGTTCAAGTGATACTTTGGTATGGCAAAAATTGTGAGGATGGCACTGAGGTTTATTGCCTTCCCATCAGGTCTATGTTGAGGGTAAAGCTAGTCTGAAGTTCCAGCCTCAACGCGGTTCTGCTATGAGCACCAACTGGGGAGAATCATATAAAATTTAAAAACAGTCCTTTCCTGTGATATTTCCTAAGCATTTCTCCTTTATCCAGTGAATTCCTCAGGACTGGTGGGAAGTCTTGTAGACAGTGCAGCTGGGAAGGAGAATGAGTTTAGTGCCTATGTTTCCTGCTCTATTCAACTGTTTTTTTAACAAACACATCTTACAGATGTGGCTGGTGCAGGCAGTATAGTGGGGAAAATTCCAGAAGGAGAAATGTACATAGTATTTCCCAGTCTCTTAGTCCCTGATCCAACTAAATAGTCTGTGATTTTAGGGTCCTCCAAAACTTCCAAGCTATTACATCTTCCCATTTAATACTTCTGTGGGAAACGAAAAGGACCAAGTTCGTTTTACGACCAAGTTCGTTTTCGGACCAAAGTTTTAGGACACACGGGATGTGGCTGCTAGTTTCTATGGGAGGTGTTTGAGGTGAGGGTACAATGTGGTTGGAAGGCGGTTTCTGAAAGTTAGGTTTGTACCTGACTTTACCTTATAGGTGAACAACTCGCGTCTAAATAGGTGGTTAGTGGGGGATAAATCCCAAAGAACAGGGCCAAGTACTGATAATACGGAAGTCCCAGAGTCCCGATAATACAGAAGAGACTAAACCATTTCGGCCTCACAAAACCCCGCCCTCCGTCCCCTACCGTTCCCCTTGGGCGAGTTTGTCGGTGTCCCAAACGGTCCCCGCATGAGGTCACTCCGCCGAGTCACGTGCTCGAGCCCGCGGGAACGCCACATCGCCAGCCGCACCCCTCCACCCCCACCCTGCCCACGTGACCCGGCCTACTTTCTCCCCGCCCGACCCAACGCCTTGCTCAGGAAGCCCCGCCCCACGCAGCGCACTCGGCCTGCGAACCTCCGCCCCATATCCGCCCGTGCTGGAGCGTGGCCCGCAGCCCCACGTGTTTCCTTCTGCCCAATGAGAGACTGAGCCCGGGCTCAAAGGGGCGGGGAGGAAAGGACGACTTCGTTACGCTTGGAGAAGGGGGCGGGGCCTGCAACGTCGGACAGAACGAGGGGACGCAACGGAGGCAGGCCGGAGCCGCTGCCGTCGCCATGACCCGTGAGCACCGAGACCCTCTCTTCTTACCTCTTTCTCCCCGTCGGCCCTAAACACTACTGCCGAATCTTGGCACTTACCTCCTCTTGGCTTTCCCAGCGACGCCTTCCTCTGGAAGCGCTTTGAGACCCTCACACTCGGCGCCGGAAATCGGCCTTTTGCCCACCGCCACTTCTTGAGAACGCCCTCCCCCTTCTCCCGCCCCAGTCAAGCAAAGGCCCTCCGCGACCTTCCGCGGCGTGGCGAGAAGCCCCGCACCCTTGTGATAGGCTCGCGCCCCCTACTCCAGATCGCAGCCCATCCATCAGAGACCCAAACTGTCCACACACCACCGCCAGTCTGGACCCCCGTGCCGCCCCGAAACTCGAAACACGCCTTTAGCGGACTCCTCGGAACCGTCCTCCTTCCACCTCCCGGTTTTACCTGCCCCGTGGCAGCTTGCCACCAGTGGCCCCCCATTCCCCCGCCCCACTCAGCAGCCTAGGCCCCGAAATGGGCCGGTGTCGGGACTGGGAAATGAGCGTTGGACCCTGCTGGTGTCCGGGTGAGGGAGGAGGGTCGCCGGTGTGTGGCCATAAAGGCCCCCCGCGTCTCACCTTTTACCTTCTTTCTTTAGGCGGTAACCAGCGCGAGCTCGCCCGCCAGAAGAATATGAAAAAGCAGAGCGACTCGGTTAAGGGAAAGCGCCGAGATGACGGGCTTTCTGCTGCCGCCCGCAAGCAGAGGTAGCCCCAGGGAGGGGAGGGGATGGGAGGGGAGGGGTGAGACCTGGGCTAGACCGAGGGTTGTACCAGGAAAGAGAGCCACCTCAGGGTTTACATTTGGACTAGTGAGGGGCAGAGTGCATTGCTTCCTCTAGGGTTTTATTTCCTCCCCATCCTCCAAATTGTTAGCTCACAGCCTGACAGGAAGGGACTGGGGCGGGTGCCTGCCCTCGGTTGATTTCTGAGTGCCCCGAGTCTGACCTTAAGGGCAAGGGCAGGGAGCTTCACATTTCAATTGCAGTAGCGGTTATGACAGCAGGGTACTTACGGCCCTCTTTGGTGTTCAGTTTCTCCTCCCTTCTCCCAACCTTCTCACTGGTGTTGCTGGGTGTGGTACTCAGCAAAGAATAGCTTTGGGCCTGTGTGGCCAGACTTCTGACCCCTTAGGCAACAGCCAGATAGAGACTGACTGCCTTTTAAGCCTCAGCTCTCTTCCTCTTGTTCTCCTAGGGTGGGAATACGGCAGGCACACGCTGAATTTTGTCCCATCCACTTCCATCTTATCCTTTGTGCCCTTCATCCCCCTGCATCTTGTCCTTTTTGCCCTCTGGTACCTCCCAGTGCCCCATCATCTCTACCCCCAGGGACTCGGAGATCATGCAGCAGAAGCAGAAAAAGGCAAACGAGAAGAAGGAGGAACCCAAGTAGCTTTGTGGCTTCGTGTCCAACCCTCTTGCCCTTCGCCTGTGTGCCTGGAGCCAGTCCCACCACGCTCGCGTTTTCTCCTGTAGTGCTCACAGGTCCCAGCACCGATGGCATTCCCTTTGCCCTGAGTCTGCAGCGGGTCCCTTTTGTGCTTCCTTCCCCTCAGGTAGCCTCTCTTCCCCTGGGCCACGCCTGGGGGTGAGGGGGTTACCCCTTCCCAGTGTTTTTTATTCCTGTGGGGCTCACCCCAAAGTATTAAAAGTAGCTTTGTAATTTCTTGAGCGCCTGGTTTGACTGGGGATTTGGGGGGATGGGGATGGAGGAATGGCTGCCCTTTCCCACCAAAAGGGGAGAGAATTTTAGATTTTAAAAGGTTGTAGATACGTAGACTAAATGAAACATCACAGAGAAATTCTTTATTTTACTACAACAAACAGACAAGTACTCCAGGTATGTGGTAGAGAAATCCTCTAAGAACCATAGGAACTTCTTTTCTGTGATTTTTGTCCCTCACCCAGACCTTGAACACCATCCCAAGGATGGAGTTGAGGGTCTAAGAAGGAAGGCTTCAAGACCTAAGTTTATGCTCCTCTTTCTCATTCTTCCGCATTTTGCTCGCCTGCTTGGAAGTTGGCCCCCAAATTCTGCTGCTGACTGACTTCCCATGGTTAGCTGCTTTCTAGTGTTCACATTCTCTTCTGTTCTGTCATTCTTCAAGGAATGAGGGTGGTTTTTGTCTTCCCACTTCCTTTGACCTCAAGATAGGATTAAAACCTAGGGTGGTCTCTATATTCTTTCTTTCTGTGTCCTGGTTTGTTCTGGGCTGCTTATCTCCCTGTGCCCAGGGCTGAACTGCTTATTTTCCTTTTTATCTCCAAGGGCAGAGCCCAGTAAGTCTTCAGTCCCTGTTGGTCTTTCCCTGCCCCCATCTCCACCATGAGAGCCAGGAAAGGGCTGGTGCCGCACTGTCTGCACGGATCAGCAGTGGTTCCTGAGAGGCTGACTTGGGAGTTAGGTTCTTGAGCTGGGGTAAAGATGTAACAGTAGCTCTAGTGAGTCAGACACTCTGCCCATGGCGTTAGAGTATGTATGGCCACTTTCTCCTGTTCAGACATAGTACTGACTTCAGTCTAAAGGGAGATAACTGCCCATTTTGTCCTTGAGGTATCTGCTGGGCTGGGCAGTTCCTGAGTCAAGACTGGGAGTATGACTCAAGGGAACCCCAGTTAACAGTACCTAGACTGAATATTTGTTATCTTGCGGTATTTATGCGATGGCAATGTCGCCTGAAAGTAGGAGGTGGCTGGGAGTCCTGGGTGGGGGACCAACAGAGTGGTACCAGTAGAAGCCCAAGATAGAGGAGTACACAGGCCCAGCACGAGGCAACCTTGACCCAGAAGGTAGCCCAGCTACCCTTGATGAAGGTCTTTTCCAGTTCTGCTCCCTCATAGCTGCGGAACCAAAGTCTCTGGTTAGAGAATACATAGGACCTTAGCTTTCAGACCTGTTCCTACCTCCCCACCAAAGATGATGGTGGACCTATGTGTGTCTCCTGAGAACCCTTAGGAATGGCCTTAAATTGCTCTCCCTAAAATAGGTTTTCAGGAGTATATCCCAGGCCCACTTCCATCCTACCTGAACCAGTTGGTAAGGGTAACCATGACATACAGTGATGCAAGGAAGAAGACAAAATGGAAGGCAGAATAGCTGTAGGAGAGATGCTGAGCTTGCACTGGAGGAGCTGGAGAGGTCTCTTGGTCAGCTGGCCTGGCAGCTCCACCCCTCTGCCCTGGAGAGAGAGGGAAGGACTGCTGGGAGCAGTGTGGCTGAAACTTCTTCCCTCCTCCCCCAGTTTCTTTTGTGAAGGCGCTCCAGGGCTCTTTGGCACTCTGCAGAAATCTACACATATTTAGGGACATTCTTAATGACACTTACCTTCCTTTGGTTTCACTGTTTCAGGGCAGCAGAAACAGTGAGGGCTTCTGTAAAACAAAAGGCAGCATGTTTTGGAATGACTTTAAAGAAAATGTGAGGGTATTAATATAGGAAAATCCCCTTTGAAAAGATTAGTCTGGTGTAAAAAGTGGAGGCACATCTGGGTTCAAATTCTAGCTCCAGCATATAACTGGCTATGAAAACTTTGGTAAGATGTTTAACTTTTTGTGCCTCATTATTTCTCCATTTGTAAAATGGAGCAAATACCTACCTCACAGGGTTGTTGTGAGGATTAAATTAAATGAGATTATGAATGTAAAGTATCTAGCACAGTGCTTAGCACATTGTGGGTACTTAATAAAAGGTAATAGCAGCTAGAATCTGAGCATTCTGGGTAGAGGTTGGTAGGGTGTGTGTGTGTCTTTTTGTGTCAGGGGGGAAGGGCATTGGGGATATTGAGCTCTCCATCCTCACCTGGAACTCATAGCTGTAAACCTTGACAATCCATAGGGGTCCAAATACCTCAGCCAGGTAGGAAGCCTCATTGCTGAGAAAGAAGAGACAGTTCTCAAGCGCGTCCAGTCAAATAGCAGGAGGGGTTGCCTGAGAACATGTACTGCTAGTTGGTCCATATTGGTAGTCCTCAGGAGGGTATTATATTCCCAGAGCCTGTTTCCCCCAAATATTTATAAATCTCGTCATGTGAAGGCCCTAAAACGTTTGTACATATTTTTAATTCTCAAGTCATTCTCCCTGCCCCCTTCATCCAATACAGATCATCTGACAAGTGCTATTCTTAGAAATTGTTTCTGTTTATGGGGAACTTTCCTCACTCTTGTCTTGCTCTAAAGTTCAAATAAACCATGGTCCCAGACAGTCTCCTGACCATCCTTCTCTGTCCTGGGTATCCTCCCTTCTCTCACACCTCTCCCCTTGATACCTTTACGCACCAAGCATAAAGGACACAAATATACATGATGCCAGTACTTAGCACTGCCAGAGAAGTATCTGGTTGCGATTCCATTTTACTCAGGCCAGGCAAGCACAAAGTGTGATTTTGTCCTTGAAGGATTACTGAGAAGGGGCAACTGAAGAAAGGTGGTAAGAACAAAGAGCTAAGTATTTGTCAGGAACAAAAAAAGGTTTTAGCATGGGGAATCTAGGTCCAGTCCTTACCACTCTCTGGAGGACGGCTGGACAGTGCAGACAAAGTCAGGTACATGATACAGCAGCTGATGATGGAAGCTTGTAGAAGGCCAGAACGGGGTTGCTCTGGGGAGAGTGGAGATCATTGCTTTTGTCTACAGGGTGGTAATTTCTTCCACTCATACTCCTATTTATGCTTCTCCCCACCCTTTTGAGGAAGCAGACGGTTGACTGAGATTAGGGAAGCTAATGAATTTCTCTATTACTAAAGGCCTACCAGATTTGGTATGTTGCAAGGCATGTACCCACTGAGGCGGATGCAGGGAGCGATGGAGAGGAAGGAGAGGAGGCCACAGAAACAAAGGTGTAGACTAAGCAGCATCTTGTTGAGCAGGCAGCCAGCTGGGTGTGTGTAGTGGCGGTACAGGAGCACAGCTGCCACACCTGCCATGCTGTAGAATCCCAGGGTGGCCAGCAGTACAGCTAGGAACCAGTGGCAGTATTGGGCTGCACCGGTCTGCCTAAGGGTGGGAGGTGGGCAGTGGCTTGGGGCTCCACCTCTACCTATTACTATTCCCCCTCTCCCAGAACACTGGTGTGACTACCCAGCCCGCCTAGCCCACAGAGTCATCGTGTTTCTGAGCTTTTTGGTACTGCTCAGTGGGAAGTTATGGGACCACTGATCTGTCATGCCCTTTGTCCAACCACACTGGGTTGGACAACCTTCCCAGGTCAGACAACCTTCCCAGGAAGAGCCTTTAGGGTTAGGTGCTCCTTACCAATTTTTGTTCCAGGAATGGGCAAAGGCTGTGATAAGCACCAACTGCAGCAGGATGAATGTGAAGCCTCCACAGATGCCAATGTAATGCCAGGCTGCAAATGGGGGGCACCAGTGGGAAAATGTAGCTGACCATGTCATTACTCCTGGTTTTCTTCCTACCCTCTCTTTTTCTTAGAAAATCTATTGGCTTACTCCTGCTGATTAGGATATGAGATGGAAGGTACCTGGGAAGAGATGCTCATCAGGGATGCAGAAGGCGACAGCACAGAGACCTAGCAGGAACAGCAGTTTGAGGAGCCAGAAGCTGGTTAGGAGACAAAAAAAGACTCAAGAAAAGGCAAAGGAGAGTCAACAGTGCCTGTGGAGGAAGGCAAAGGAGAAAGCAAAACTATAGGAAAGGGGAGAGAAGAAACTAGTATAGGAAAGGAGGAACCAGTTCCACCACAGCCTATTCCAAATTCTAACTCTCAGATACCTAAATAATAACATCTGGACAATGTTTCACAGTTGACAAAGGGTTGCATATAATAACCCCACTGTTACCTCCATTTTAGAAACTAGAAGTTCAAAGAGGGTAAGTATGTGGCTCATGGTCACACAGTAAGTATGGCGGAAGCAGGAACTTAAAACTGGTTTTGGACTTTTTACACACTGTTACTTCATCTTGGAATTTCCTTTACTCAGCTTATGTCTATTTCCCTCCCCATCCTCACCCCACCCAAAATGTATATACACAAACCTATTACGGAGCTGTGCACGTAGACTAGTGGGGGAGTGGAGCTGCACTAGCAGCACAGCCTGCAGCAGGTGGAAGGTGGCAGTTCCTGCACATACTCGGTACACAGCTCCAGAGCCACTGAGCACTGGGCAGTGAGGGTGGCCAAACAGATGGGCACACAACCCTGAGGGCATCTGGATCTGGAGGGAGAGTGCCTGTGAGAAATGGCAGGGCAAATCATCATGTATAGAGAGGTACCTGCTTCTCAGGGTATATCCATTCACTTGTCCCCTATCCCCAATCTGAATCTTTTGTCTGAAGGTTTCTTCTTTTTCCCTTTCTCCTGTTGGAACCTGGACCCTCCCACTTACCCCATGTGCCTTCCCCCAGACCCTTTCCACTACTGTCCTTGACAGCAGGAGGCAGCAGACTGCTGAGGACCCCACATGGAGGAGGATGTAGACCAGATGGCTACAAGTAGACTCTGTGACAAGGGGCCATCTAGAATGGCAGCAGCAGGTACAGGGAACAGGCCCACAAGACACCTGGGGGTAGAGCAGCAAGATAGAGATTTACTGAGGAAAAGCTTACATTAATGTATGCATTAGATTAACCCATGAGGCTGAATCCCAAAATTTCCCTTTCCCTTTTCTTCTCTCCTTTTACTCAGGAATTCTCAGAATCTGGTTCCAAGCTATTTAGGATTGCCTTCCACTGACATCAAGTAGAGCTTTCATCATAAGAGCTGATGCAGGCTTGAGCAGACCTTCCTAAAAGCCTAAGTCACACCTGGCCTCTCACCTTTCTGTAGACCTACAGATCTGGTACTGGGAAGTGGGAGGAGAGGTTTAATGATCAGTAGTCTCGGGCAAAGAAACGGAAAGGCCTCAGAGGAGAAAGGAAGGCCTGTCATTTTTATTGGCTCCTGTGGGTTTTACTACCCAGCTTCAGCTACCATTCCCTTCCATTTTTTTTCAGATAGTTTGCTCTGGGGACCTTTCAAGCCCTTCTGCCCAACTATGCTCTTACCTGGTAGAAGGGAGGATTCACCATGACACTGCTGACTTCAATGCGTTGTGCCAGGCTGAGGGAGGTGCTGGGGCCTGTAACAGCCTTTGCACCCACCATCCTTGTCCCAGGGATCAGGCCCAGGTCCACCAGATGGAAGGTAGAGGAGAAAGTAGCAGCTTTCTTTTGTTCTCAGCCATGGGCTGCCACAGTGCTGGGGTGGTCACCCAGTCTAAGGCAGAATGGGGAGGAACATCAGGAAAAGAACACCGACCTCCAGGATGTGGTAAATGCAAATGTCTCTCTGTAAAGCTACTTTCTCTCCAGGGCCTTTGGGCCACACAGGCTGTTCTCCCCAGATTAGAGAGCAGTTTGCAAATCTGGCCTCTAGTGGATTAGCATTCCTAATTGGTTTAGGATTAGACGTCATCCATCCTGGTTGAACAGAATGATGGGGGAGGTGGGATGGGATGGAGTGGGTAGGATCTAGGTGAAGAGAAGGTAAGGATGTCGGTTGGGAAGGTCTGGAGTGGTGACGGGCTAGGTGTGGGAGAGGACCTTGCATAAAACAACACTAAAACCCCCCAAAGGAAGTCTGAGAGGCGACCAACTTTCCTGGCTGAAGTTTCTAGAACCCAGGACATTAGTAAAGGTGTGGCCCGAGGCCAGCCCCGCCTCATCCTCTCCGGGCGGAAGTCTCGGGGCAGTTACCGGAAGTCTTCATGAGGTGGGGCGGGGCCTGTGCAGCGGCACTGGGGGATCGATATGGCTACCGAGGGGGATGTGGAGCTGGAGTTGGAGACCGAGACCAGCGGCCCGGAGCGGCCTCCCGAGAAGCCACGGAAGCATGACAGCGGTGCGGCGGACCTGGAGAGAGTCACCGACTACGCGGAGGAGAAGGAGATCCAGAGTTCCAACCTGGAGACGGTGAGGTTGGCCGTGAGCGTGTCTGGGCGGGCTGAGAGCGGAGGGGCCTCTCAGGTTGTAACTGGAATCCCCGCTCCAGGACGGGCTCTTCTTCCCGTTGGCGGGAGGAGGTTAAGAGGGAAACCGTCACTGGAGCCCGCCGCTTGCGAAAGGGAGCTTTATGGAGATTGTATTTAAAGATTTATTTATTTATTTATTTGAGAGAGAGAGAATGAGATAGAACATGAGAGGGGGGAGGGTCAGAGGGAGAAGCAGACTCCCCGCTGAGCAGGGAGCCCGATGCGGGACTCGATCCTGGGACTCCAGGATCATGACCTGAGCCGAAGGCAGTCGCTTAACCAACTGAGCCACCCAGGCGCCCTGGAGATTGTATTTAAAGTGGCCTTCAGGTGCACAGAATTGAGTTAAACCTAGGCCTTGGTTCCTGATACACTCATCATGAATAGGCTGTTCCCCCCTTCCCCCGCGCCGACCCACTTCTTATTGGCTTTTTAGATTATTGGGAATTGTGGGTGGCAGAGCGGTAAGGAGATCTGTTTTTCTCATAGGCCATGTCCGTGATTGGAGACAGACGGTCCCGGGAGCAGAAAGCCAAACAGGAGCGGTAAGTCTGTACTTACAGCCAGCCCTACCAGTTTCTCTCTTCCCCTTACGAAAATAAAAGCCATCGTTAAGCCTTTGTACCTTGTACGGTTCTTCAACTCTGTCACCGATTTCTGCATATATAAGGTTTACAACCCTACTTTGTTGTTGGTGGAAGGAAAGGCCTGACAGCACCTGCTGCCTGCCGTAAAGACTCAAGAGGGGGGATGGGGATGTTAGGTGAGGGGGTGAGAGTCATTTTGTATTTTCACTCAACAGTGTTTGTCAGGAGTCATTTATTTGTAAGGCAGAGCTGGAATGATCTGAGAGTTAATGGTGGAGGTAGAGAATGAGGACTAATGTACATAAATATTTGCAGGGAGAAGGAACTGGCCAAAGTCACCATTAAGAAGGAAGATCTGGAGCTGATAGTGAGTAGTAATGCCTAACTAGTGTATGGGCAGAGGTTACATTGCTTAATTGGTGTTGTTTACTGAAACAAGTAGAGTCAACAAGTCTTGGTGGCATTTTAATGTCCCAGAAGAGACTTAGGTAACATCATCGATCCTTTTCCTGCAGATGACAGAGATGGAGATCTCAAGAGCAGCAGCAGAACGGAGCTTGAGGGAACACATGGGCAACGTGGTAGAGGCTCTTATTGCCCTAACCAACTGATTTGTGCTTTCTCAGACACACTCACTGGATTATTTTATTTCAATAAAGATGTAGCCTTTTTTTTTGCAGTTATATCATCTTGGAACAAGTGTTATGTATATTATACTGTATTTTATTGTGAGAAATTTACATGTTGGAGTATAACTGAATTTAAGCAACTCTCCCCCCACCCCCCAGGCCTTAATGAAATCATGTGAAGGATCAGTGTAGTATGGTACCTCATGACCTCATGTTCACATGCAGATGCTAGGTGGCAGGCCAGGCTCATTCATCTGACTAGCTTTCAGTGGTATTCAGGGTACATTTGGAATTTCAGCAAAGTTGCCGAAGACCATGGCATGGGTCTCTAGGGTGGTTTATATACCACCAATCTTGTTCATAAGTCACTTTTTAAAAATGTTTTTTTAAGAGAGCGCATGGTGGGGGTGGGTGTTGCGGGGGGAGAGGGAGAGAGAGAATCCCAAGCAGGCTCCACACCCAGCATGGATCCTGACACGGGCTCGATCTCATGATCCTGAGATCATGACCTGAGCCGAAATCAAAAGCTGGGTGCTTAACCGACTGAGCGACCCAGGCACACTATTCATAAGCCCCTTAGAGTTAGAATTTAGGTACCAAATTGGAAACATGGTAAACACAATAAAAGATGTCAAAGGTTAGGTCTTTTGCAGAATTAATCTATGAAAGACTTTGATTTATGAAGTTGATTTAACTGAATTCTGAACCACCACAACACTGTGCCTTACATTCCATTTCCTATCCTGGAGAGAAGACAGTTTTACTTTAAAAGTTGATCAACCTTTGGCAAGTCATCCTTGCTGAGCTTCTGTTTCCCCAACTGTAAAATGATACATACCTGATAGGTTGTTTTAAGAACTTAAAGAGTTGGTGAATGTGAAAAGCTTGGACTAATACCTGCCTCAGAGTGGACATTCAGGTATCAGCTATAAACATATTCTTAAAAGAATTTCAATATCTTATTCTCATTTTGGCTCTAGGAAAATCTTAGGTTGTATCTCTCTGGCACACACATAAGTGACTTATACTCAGATTAATGTGTTTATTACCTCCTAGTAATTTGTATTCATATTTTTATTTTAGGACATGAAAGATTTGTGAATGCTTCTTCCAGTGGGGCATTTAAAAGATGGTGAAAAGACCTTGACCATCTCATTTTTTTATGTAATTGAGAAATAGTCTTCCCACTGATTAAACGTCATTCCTTATAACCTCTAGGACTCCTAGTGCTCTGCCATGTGCATGGTGGTTATGTAATAAATATTAAGTGGAAAACCACTGAATTTAACTCTAGTTTGATGTCATTACATTGCAACTTGGAAAACACTATACCCTCCTTGATGTATATATACAAGCTGAGTGTGGAGGGTACTGGTAAGTACTTGGCTTCCCTATTTCATAAGTCAACTTTTGTTCTAAATACAGCTGTATTTTAGAGAGCAAAGAAAACCATACATATATCTGCTCATGGAGTAAATCTGGGTGCCACTTAGAATATATAGCCTGTCCAGCATCTTAGTTTCTGAGATCAAAGGTGATGATCCGAATGTGAAACACTCTTTGCCCAACAATTCTCTGCGGTTTTTTATTTCATAGGAAGATTCTTGTCAGCCTGCACATTTTATTTCCAGTATCAAACCTCTTGGTGTAGGATTCTTTTTTTTTTAAGATTATTTATGAGAGAGAGCAGGGCGCAGGCGCAGAGGGAGAGAGAATCTGAAGCCAACTCTGAGCTGCGCACGGAGCTCAATGTGGGGCTTGATCCCACGACCATGAGATCATGACCTGAGCTGAAACCAAGAGTCGGATGCTCAACTGACTGAGCTACCCAGGCGCCTTTGGTGTATGATTCTTTTATTTCTTGACACATAAATGGATCAAAAAATATGTTCACATAGAAAAACTGACTCCAACCAAAAATGCAAAACAGATATCCGTGAGCTGAGATTTACTGTAAGGTAGCGTTGTCCACTTACATGCCCTTGTTTCTAACCCAAGCTAAGAGGCTGGAAAAAGAAACCTGGAATAGTTCCAAGTGAATCTGGGAAGCAGAGCAGTGATGAAACGTAAGATTTCTCAGAAATGGTTTTAAGTGGGGAGCCTCTGATCCTACCTGGATAGTGCTTTTCTGTGGGTTTCTCAGCATGAGTCCAAACCTCACAAAGCACCTTCAAAGACTGGATTGCCCAGTGTCACAAGTATGGCAGTAGGTCCAATAGGCTGGATACAGGGGCCATGTAAATAATGGTAAAAGCAAATCAAGGACCAGATGCTGAGACAGTCCCTTGTGTCTCACCAGCTGGAAGTAGTTGAACTCTAAGTAGTTTTCCGCTTCTTGGCAGATGGCCGTTCAAATACATCACGTACCCCAGCTGCCTTTTGTTTAAAGAACTTTGTGTTCTGGGCACTCTCTTGGCCCCATGCTGAGTCAAAAGAGGTGGTGTCCTGATCCACAAGGTGGGTGTACTTGGTGCGACCAGAGCGCCCGAAGTTCTTGACCTGATCAAGGAAGGGTAGATTATGAGTTATACCACCAAACATCAAGTCCTCAATACATAACTTTTCTCTCTCATGGTCTTAAGGTACCCCATACCTGCATGACTTTGGGAAGAATGGTTTTGTTGAAATGATCCTCCAGGGTAGGTGCACTGAAATCTCTCTTGTATACTTCTTCATCCTCATCCTGTAAAAAGAGTATTATCAATCTTGTGGTTTTTATTGCCTATATATTCAAACCACTAATTTATTAACCTCTATGACAAGGGATACAAAGAACGAGGGTACTGAACCTTTTCAAGAGCTTACATCTAGTTGAGATGATACTCCTTTTTCTCTTTGTATTGTCTTTTTTCTTCCTAAATGTGGACGTTTCCTGAAGGTTGGCTGTATTCTGTCTGTACTCAATATGTTCATTCAGTCATATGACTTCAACTCTGTAGAAGCCTCTCAAATCTCATCCGGAATTTTCTACTGCCCATTATATAGCTTAGCTTGGATATTCTGTTGGGACTTCAGACTCATACCTAAAGTGAAAATCATTTCCCTAACCTTTTCAAACCAGGCTCTTCCTGATTTAACTTCTTCTGTCAATAGGACCAACGTTTTCTCAATTACCCAGGTTCAAAATTTACATAAACTTTGTGCATGATGAGTTGCCACTTACAAATTCTAATTCCCTGGAATCAACCTTACACAGTGCCACTAGACTAATGTTTCTAAAACACACCCTCATACCTCTGCCTTGCTCAAAAACTTCCAGTGATTCTGTTTTGTTAAATAAGCACAACTCCTCTATAGTAGTCAAGGCCAAATAACATATATATGATACAATAACATATAGCTGTAATCTACCTCTCCTTGCCAACTCCCTTTACAGATGATGCTTTTTGCCTCCACTCCTAGTCCCTTCACTTGGAATGTCTTTCTACTACTGAAATCAGCAAGTCTACACATCTTAAATGTGCCCTCCTTCATGTTATCCCTCTCCATCTCCTACAAAGTAAAGCATCTCCCTTTTCAGAAATCCCACAGTATTTTCACTCGTCCTTATGTCATAGTATAGTATATGTTTGCCTTAGCCCCATTTTTAGGTTGTAAGCCATCTGAGGGCAATTTTATATCCTGTAGCAGTATCAAACAGTAGTGTTCTTGGTGCTCCTGGTTGGCTCAGCTGGTAGAGCATGCAACTCTTTTTTTTTTTTTTTAGAGAGGGAGACAGAGGCAGGGAGTGGGGAAGGGGGGAGAGGGAGAGAGAGAATCCCAAGCAGGCTCCACATCCAGAGGAGAGCCCAACATGGGACTCGATCTCACTTGATCATGACGTGAGCTGAAATCAAGAGTTGGACACTCAACTGACTAAGCCACCCAGGTGCCCCTAGACCATGCAACTCTTAATGTCAGGGTTGTGAGTTCAAGCCCTACGTTGGGCTCTGAATGGAGTCTACTTAAAAAATGGGTGCCTAGGTCGCAGTTGGTTAGGCGTCTGACTCTGGGTTTCGGCTTAGGTCATGATCTCAGGTTTGTGAGATCGAGCCCCACATCGGGCTATGCACTCAGTGCGGAGTCTGCTTGAGGTTCTTTCTCCCTCTCCCTCTGCCCCTCCTGCTCGTGCTTTCTCTCTCTAAAATAAATAAAAAATCTTTAAACCACTCCCCTCAAACCAAAAACCAGGAGTGCCCTTTACACAGTAAATGCTCAAAAGGGTATTTACTTAATAAACTATACATAAAAAAATTATAGAGAAGTTACAAATCAACATATTAGTAAAACTATAATGTTATGATACAAATTATACATGTGAAGGAATTAAAACAGTACCATTTTGATTAAGGAAAGCTTTGTGGAACAACTGAGTCCTTCAACCACACACACTTTTGGAGTATTCTCTTCAGCTACAGAAAGGCTTTAAAGGTAAGACAGTTTTTGTGAGACCTACTTTTTTCCTTGTTAGAGGCCGAGTCCCTCATTTAATCTCAGAAGATATTTTATCTTCACTCTCCTTATCCAGATGAGGAGAGTTCATTGAGTATGTGCACCAAAAGACTTTTACATAAACCTTTCCTTATGTATCTTACCCACCAATGCACTGCTTCTCTCAGAAGCTTATTAAAGCTGCTCAAATGTATAAGCAATGATACTTAATGACCTTAAAGCAGTAAAGAAATAATTCATAATCTCCAATGACTCCAGTCTAGAAAACTGCATGAGCTAGGACACTATATAATAAGCAAACATTTCCGGCTGAGTAGACTGAAACTGATTTTGGAGGGGAATAAGGAACCCTTCACTGAAGTTAGATTTTACTGGTATCTACAATGAAAGGCAGGAATCTAGCTGCAGTAGGGATTTTAGGGTTTGATACAGCATTTGAAAAAAAACAAGTCTACTTTTTGATTCAAACTTGGATAGCATTCGGTAGTAATTTAACAAACCACATGCTATTACAGTAATAAATGTAATCAATTCTTCGCTTCCCTTTCCTGACATCTCTCCATTAACAAATTATCACTGGTATCATCTAAATAATTTGGAAGAGGTCCTCGTCACTC